ATCCCAGCACTATGGAGGCTGAGACAGGAAGATCTCTGTGAGTTTAAAGCCAGCCTGATCTACATATTAAGCTCCAGGATAGCCAGATATAGAGAGACCCTGTCTCAAAACAAAAATACAAGACCCCAATCCCAAGTATGCTATTCACCACTTTTTGCTAGAATTATTTTCATCATAAATATGAAAACTCATCTAGTAAGCACAATTCCTACATGATTCATTTGGAGAGTCCTTTTTGAAGCATAAGGAGGTAATAAAGCTACTGAATATATTTTTCTTTTTAAATTCCCTTCAATACTTTTTCTCTCATTCTGTGGTACCTTATTTCTCAATTACCTTCTGCGTGCTTCCTGGGATCATACAAACTAAAGACTACTGACTAAGAGAGGGGAGATGAGAAGAGCAGTGAGAAGTGTTCCTACCAAATGAAATGACCTCAGCTGACACATGATTAACTACATAGCATTAGGCATACTCCAGTCTCAGTCCAAAGTTATGAACCCTAAATTTAGTTAGGCCCACGTAGGCCTTCAGAGAAAAATGATAAACAAAAACCTAAAGACAGTTTCAGGGATAAATTTGGATGAGCTACTGCAGTTGCCTTTGGGTTCTTAGAAATAGGCCCAGCTGGTGAAACGCTTGTCTGGCATGAGTAAGGCCCTGGGCACCACATAAACAAGGTGTAATGAAGCTGGGCAGTGGTGGCGCACGCCTTTAATCCCAGCACTTAGGAGGCAGAGGCAGGAAGATTTCTGAGTTCAAGGCCAGCCTGGTCTACAGAGTGAGTTCCAGGACAGCCAGGGCTATACAGAGAAACCCTGTCTCAAAAAAAACAAAACAGACAAACAAACAAAACAAGGTATAACGATAGCATATACTTTAGATAACACCTATGTCCCAGCACTTGTGAGATGGAGCAGGAGGATCAGAAATTCAAGGTCATACAGAATTTGAGACTAGGTTGAGCTATGTCAGAACCAATGAATCTCTCCTCTTTCTGCTCTCCTCTTCTCTCCCACTCTTCTCTCCTACAAAGGAAGGGAGGGAGGGAAGAAGGGAAGGAGAGAGGGAGGGAGGGAGGGAGGGAGGGAGGGAGGGAGGGAGGGAGGGAGGGAAGAGGGGAAGGAGGGAGGAAGGGAGGGAAAGAGGGAAGCAGGAAGGACTGAGGGAGGTGGCTGACAAATACATCCTAGATTGGGGAGAAGAAACAAGGGCTGTGACCCTTACAAGCTCTCAATTGCAGAACACTTGCTTATCATGTCTGTGACCTGGAGTTCAATCTATAGCCCCACCCACCCCACAAAGCAGAGAAAAGGTGTTGTTCAGGTGTTGTAAGGTGGTGTTCAGCCGGTACACTAGGAAGCGATGGTTCTGGACATCCAGCTCTTACAAGAGCCGTATCCTCGCAGTATTGTCTAGGGTTGTGACTTGAGTTAAGACAATGAAAAGCTGTACCCATGATAACCTGAGTCTGCTTATCCTCAAAGGACAGTCAGGTCCCCATACCATCCATCCAGTTTACGGGATTATGCACGCCTACTTATGCTGGTCCACAATGAGAGAGTCTCGAGGTTACATTAGGATTTATCTTTTTTAAAACCTTCCATGTTGTCCTATATAAATATAATCATATGAAGACCATGTTACCAATGTTTGAGTTGGTTTATCAATCACAGAGACAAATTTGTACTGAACAGTACACTTAATTGACCTGTTTTTTCTGAGAAACAGTTCAAAGATAACTGCCTGAGATTACAGATTTAAAATGCCCATGATACGAAATAAAAGTCACTAGTTCCCACATAAATCAAAACTAACTCTGGCCAGGCAGAATGGCACGCACTTTTACCCTCAGCACTGGAGTAAGGCAGAGGCAAGAGGATCTCGGAGTTCAAGACCATCCTGGCCTACATATTGAGATTTAGACCAACCAGGATTATGCAGTAAAACTCAGTCTCAAAAAACAACAGCTGGACACAGTGGCACCCACAAAGACCCCAACACTTGAGAAGCAGAGGCAAGATCTTTCTGTGAGTTGGAGGCCAGCCCTGTCTACAGAGCAAGTTTCAGGACAGCCAGGGCTAAATAAAGAGACCCTGTCTCAGGAAAACAAAAAAACAGTAAATCTGGCCTTATCAGACCTTTTCCTAAAAACACAAAATAACACTGATTAGCTCCTTACTGAACACCATAGTGACTGTAAGTAACACAGATGTTAAAGATTCTAGAACAGGAGACTCGGAAAGTGAAAAGCATGTGAGACAGGACTGGCTCGCTAGGGAAAGGCACTTGCTGCCCAGCCTACCCCTCTGAGTTTGACCCCCACAGGGTCTATGTGGTGGAAGGAGAGAACTAACATCTAAAAGCTGTCCTCTGACCTTCACAATGGCACTATGGTACACATTCATACACATGCACACACACAATAAACAAATAAATGTAAATAAAATTAAAAAGTGTGAGATAATGTATGTTAAGTTCAATTAAATACTTTGATTTAGCCATTTCATGAAAAAAAGGTACTCATATCAAAAACAGGTTGTACCCCATGACTACAATTTTGTCAGCCAAAGACAACAAAGCCTTACTCAGTAAGTCTCCATTTTTCCTCAACCCATGTGTTCCTTGGCTTCCTCCTGGTCTTGCATATTCTCAAGCTGAATTATACCTGTCCTTCAAAATTCAATCTAATTCCACCTCAGATGTCATAGGTCTCCGGTAACACCGATGCAACCGTGTCTTCCTTTCTGAAACTGAAACCATGTATTACCTGCCTTCATTTGTTTCACTGCCATGCACTGAATAACCTTTATGTGAATCACCGAGTTCATATAGACTGTACAGGGTAATTCCGCTAACAATCGCATTGCTGGGGTGGGAGTACAGGGGTATTACCTGTAATTCCAGTAGCAGGAGGCTTAGGCAGGAGGTTCTTGAGTTCCAAACTAACCTGAATTATACAAGACAGTAAGACAGTGTAGTGATAGAGCTTGCCTAACAAGTACAAAGGCCTAGGTTCAGTCCTCAAACCCACAATGCAAGTGACATTGTATTCATTTTAGTTTAACCTAAGTAGATTCTACAAAGGTTGTACACAGATGAAAATCACCTAACTGTATTTCTCTGAACTTGTCCCCATCCTGAAACAACACATGATGATTGCTAATTTTTCCATGTCCTTATGAACAAGAGCCACATATGCTTTCACGCACCTCTAGGGCAGCCAACATTTGTCTACTGTAGGCAGCATCTGGTTATATTAGACACTGATAAGCTTCAATTTACAAGTCAGACTTGACAAGCAATAAATCAGAGTAAAAAAAAAAAAGCAAAGATCGTCCATTCATCTAACCAAATCTTAGAAAAAATATCTAAAAAGCCTTAACTAAATCATCCCTTTGAAGTAAGGACTTCAGGTAATAAAAAGAAAACGACATTTACATTATGTCTTCTCACTCTGAAAGGCAAATCCTTGAGTGCACACTTACAGATCCAAGGGCTAATGTTCTCACAGGGCATCCATTACATTCAATGACACATCATTGCTCTTCCACACACAGTGGCTGAATTCTACTCCCTCTCTATAGTGAGAGTTCTAGTATCCACTGGAAAAAAATAAGGTATATACTCTTGCCCGAATTGAAATATGGCAGACAGCACATCAGCATAAAGCAAAGGCCGCAAGTGGAACCTGTTAACAGTAGATGTAGCTAATTATGAAGCTGGAGGTGGGACCAAGAGAAAAAGGAAATGCCTTGGTTGCCTCATTACACAACTTTTAAATGAAATCCTTATTCACTGGACTCCATTTGTGTTTCTAAGAAGTAAGATAGAAACAGAAACTTAGTAGACCTTCTCTTAAGAGTGCATTTAAAGCCAGGAATAGCAGTGCACACTTTTAATCCCAACACTATGAAGGCAGAAGCAGGCAGACCTCTGTGCGTTCTAGGCCAGCCTGATCCGAATAGCAAATTTCAGGACAGCCTACATGGTAAGACCCTGGCTCAAAAAGCAAGCAAACAAACAAAAAGATGCCATGTGTTCAAGATACCGTGATTATAAATTATGACATAGCCACTCGTTTTAAGAAGAAATCTCGCCACCTGCCAAGAAAAGGACTTATAATTGGGGGCGTTGGCACTGGCCAGCATGCTGCAGAAGCCTTTTCTTCTCAAAGCATAGCCCTACCTCTTTATTGGCTGACAGCCTGGCAGAACCAATTTCATATCAGAGAAAGCAATTCCAACATTCTGTCCTTTTTTTGTTTTCCTGAACAGAAAAAATGGAGGGGGTGGGCTAGGAAAGTGGAGCTAAAGACACTGGCAACGTGATATCCAAAATAAACTAAGTTGAAACAGTACGTCCTACCTTCTTCCCAAAGCCATTTCCTTCAATAGCAACAGGGAGCGCAGTCTGCAAGTCATTGGTACACTGCTGTTTTCACTTTCACAAGAACCCCAAAACCACTGAAAAACAAAATCTGCCTCTTCCCTGTTACCTTCCAAACCTCCTCTTTCTGTACTTCAACAAAACCTACTAAGGAGTCCTCAGCAATTTGCTATTTTGTCTCATTGAAGATGCAGAAGGGGGAGGGTCTGGTTGAGAAGTGGGAGGAAAAATAAGAGTAGGTGAAACGCAAAAACGGAGAGTACAGGGGATAGGTCATCGCGAAAAGAAGACAAGGAAGAGGACTACGAGCAAATTGGGCACAGATTTGGCTGAGAATTCACAGAGGAAGACAAAAAGATGGGGGTAGTTAGTATTAATGAGCGGAAGCGAAATGAGGGGCAGATTGGAGACGCGGAAATGAGGGCTAGGCAAGACCCTGGCCCTGATGCCTAGGGTTTGTGGCCAGGGCCCGGAGACAGCGGGCAGCAGAAACCGAGGACCGGTGTCAAGGGAATCGCGGGAATGCGGGCAGCTTAAGACCTAGCCAGTTTCCAGCCCTAGAGGCCAAGGACCTACGCGTCGCCCGAGAGCGAGACACACGGGGCTCTTACCGGTAGTTTGGGATTGACCTCGCCCTTACAAAAGTGGCAGAAGAAACGGTGCGCGGAGACAGCGGAACCAGCGTCCGCCCCCGCCGCCGAGGCCTCCGCCATGTTTCGCCTCCACCGAGAATGTCCGAAAGGGCGGCCGGCGGTCCCTCCCCAGGCCGCTACCTCCCGGGCTGCGGTCGCCACCGCCGTCACCGCCTCCGTTGGGCGGCCCGCCGCTCCAAGGCCCGCAAGGGTCACGTGAGTCAGCCCGGCCCCGAGAGGCCCGCCCGCCAGCGGCCGCGCGACCCGAGGCCCGCCTCCCCGCACCAAAGGCAGAGGAGAGCCCGCCCGCCGGCACCTTAGACAGCCCTGGCCGGTCCTCCAGCCTTCCAACGAGAGGAAAGAAAGAGCGTCTCCGGAAACCACAGATACTGTCGGCTAGAGCGGTCCGTGCCCTGACCCTTCCGCGTCCGCCTGGATGGTGCTCTACTTCCAAGAAGGGGCGATGGGCAGCTCCTAAGCTTAGGCTGCTGGCCTCGGGAGGATAACATTTGGAGCTTCTAAATTAGCACTGACCCTAAGGTTAGTGAAAACGCTGCCAGAATGAGGAGGCCCTGACTCAGGGCCAAGAAATAAAGTCCGGAACAGAAACTTGCATGAAGGGAGAGGAGCCAGGACATGCTTTCAAGGATGGCAACCGGTCTGAGGATGTTTCTCCAAAGACTTGTGGATAAGTGAAATAATCTTCTCTGCGACTCTGTGGCAAGAGAGACGAAAAATTAGGTTAGAAAAAGTTGGAGAAAGAGATGAATAATGGCAGGTAGCAGCTTGTGATAGGGAGGTAATTTATAAATCAACTACATCCATTTCTTTTTTTTTTTTTTTTTTTTTTTTTTTTTTTTTTTTTTTAAATTTTTATTTATTTATTATACGTAAGTACACTGTAGTTGTCTTCAGACACCCCACAAGAGGGCATCAGATATCATTACAGATGGTTGTTAGCCACCATGTGGTTGCTGGGATTTGAACTCATGACACATCCATTTCTGCTTGTGTCCCATTTGTCGTGATGTAAAAATTTAATATGGTTCTCAATGGAACATAACTTCATCTCCTAATTGAAATACTCTGTTAAGAAGCTCTTTTTTACTTTCTCTTTCTAAATCCTGGTTTATGACTTGGGAATGATACTTTGTACCACCACTGAGTCATGAGCCTTAGTTCTTTGTATCTATGACAGATTGCAAAGTTATTTACACTTCCCCTCCCCCTTTGCTTTTAGAGGTCTCACTCTGAACCAGATTTGCTTGGTATTTAATATGTAGCCCAGGGTGCTGGCCTTGAGTTTATGGCAGTCTTCTAGCCCTAGTGCTGGGATTTTTTTTTTTTTTTTTTTTTTTTGAGACAGGGTCTCATGTAGCCAGGCCGGTTTTGAACTCAATATGTAACCTTGAACTCCTGACCCTCCTACTTCCACCTCCTAAGTGCTGGAACTATAGGCATGCAGCACCATACCTGGCTTTAGAAATCAAATTTGAGCTGGGCAGTGGTGGCGCACACCTTTAATCCCAGCACTTGGGAGGCAGAGACAGGCGGATTTCTGAGTTCGAGGCCAGCCTGATCTACAGAGTGAGTTCCAGGACAGCTAGGGCTATACAGAGAAACCCTGTCTCGAAAAACCAAAAAAAAAAAAAAAAAGAAAAAAGAAAAAGAAATCAAATTGATGTCTAATTTTCCAGTTCTTTGTTTTGGTGGGTGGGTGGGTGTATCACCCAATCACCCACCAGAGTCTTGTTGTATAACATAAGCTGGCTTTGAACTCACTTTTTGCCCCAGATTGTCCTGGAACTATTGATTCTTGGGTTTGGCCTCCTGCATGCTAGAATTACAGGCAGTGTACACCATATCTGACCATAGCAATTACTAAATGACAACACATGAGGAATATCTTATGCTAGTTATATTGTACAAAGTCATTTTAAATGTTGCCGTAGTGTACTCACGGTTATCCTATGATTTACTGATAGATGCTGGATTGTTTCAGTTTGTCAGTGCCAGTATTGTGGAGAGAACTCATAGCATGTTTTTACTACATCCTTGGAACAAAGGATTCCAACTTAAAGTATTAAGGCAAATATATGCCTTAATATAAAGGTTTTGATGTATATTGTCAAGTTGCCCTCTAGGAAAAAACTATGTGAATTTATATTGTTGTTCTTTCCTAGTTCTGAGGCTCCGAGTGCAATGACTCAAGCAGAAATTAAACTGTGCTCTTTGTTGCTGCAAGAGCATTTTGGTGAGATTGTCGAAAAAATTGGAGTCCACCTAATCAGAACTGGGAGCCAGCCACTTAGAGTTATTGCCCATGACACAAAAGCATCACTGGACCAGGTATGTTTAGATAAGAGAGTCTACTCTCTTCAACTTCTTCAATTCATTTCCTTCGAGCACCTTTGAACAGTGGTACTCCTTCTCCTAGAAAGTATAACCAGAGAAAGTCTGCCCTATGGTCAGAACCATGGTGGGCGGGGTGGGGGTGTGGTCTTGTATTTAGGCCCCGGTGTACTGCTGCTCATCTCTGCTGTCCCCATGCCACACTCATTCATTCACAGTAAGTCTACTGAGTGCTGCCTTTCAGGAATAGAAATGATAGAAAAAGTCAGCTGTGATGTGAAAGATTTTTATTGCCATCCTGGCCAAGAATGTAGCTCAGTTGGTAGAGTGACTACATTGTAGTGACAATTTAGAGAGTTTGGTTTCTTTTTTTTTTTTTTTTTTTTTATATCTACTTTGCTCTTTTTTTTTAAGATTTATTTATTTATTTTATGTATATAAGTATACTGTAGCTGTCTTTGGACACACCAGAAGAGGGTGTTGGATCCCATTACAGATGGTTATTAGCCACCATGTGGTTGCTGGGATTGAACTCAGGACCTTTGGAAGAGCAGTCAGCACTCTTAACCACTGAGCCATCTCTCCAGCCCGAGAGTTTGGTTTCTTTAAAAACACAGAAATATTATAAGAATATATTTTTTTGTTTTGATCCCAGGTGTGTGGATATGGGGCTGCTTCGGACTGTCCACAGCAGCTGATTTGCCTCATGTTCTAGCAGAGGCATGGTTTTGCCAGCTATAGATAGGTTCTGTTACTGTGCAATGTCTGGGATTCTGGGAACTTTTCAGAGGATATATAAATGCTAGCCCCGATATGTGGGGTCGGTGGTTGTTGGTCGTTTGGGGAAGTTATGATTTACTAGTAGTGTGGTCAAAGAAGAAATGAAAGAAATTAAATTCAGGGATTTTCCTTATTCCTCCTTGGTTCTCTCTTATGTAGTGTTAGGGGGTGAAACCGGGTTGGGATGGTGGGAAGGGAGAATCAAGGGTGGGAAAAAGAAGAACCCACAAAGTAGCAAAAACTAGCTACACTGCATAGCATGTAGGATGTCCTGGTCTGATCTCCAATACTACATAAAACTAGTGTGATGATTTATGTCCATGATCCCGGCACTTAAAAGGAGGGGCTCAAAAGTTCAAGATCACCGTCAGCTACATAGCAAATATAAGGCTGTCCTGGGCTCCATGAGACCTGATTCAAAACAGAGAACTAGAAGATAAAGACTGGGCATAGTATGAAGATCATAGCAAAGAGTGTTCTTGATTTCCTGCACTGGCATTGGCTACACTAACCCGCAGAGGAAGTAAGATTCTATGTACAGTCAAGTCAAATTCAGTCCCTGCCCTGTCGTGGTGGGAACTGGCCTAGATGGCTGCCACAACAAGTTCTGCTGCTCATGGGCCCCAGGTCTCCTGTCCTGGGATCTGGGGATAAGTTTGGCTGCAGACATTATACTTTAAACATAGGAGTTCTCAGGGCAGACAAAAGGCAGGTCCTGTTGTTTCAACTCAGGCCCAGTTGCTTTAAGAAAAAAATTAAGAAAAGATTCACTAGACTCTTTGCTGGTGATATGATGCTTTCTAGGCTCTGGGAAGTATGCTGTGTTGCTAGCAGTGGTGAGCTATATAGTGTCAGGTCTTCCCTGCCTTCCATTTCCTTTGGTTCCTATCTAGGTGAAAAAAGCCCTTTGTGTCCTCATTCACCATAACCTGGTCATCTATCATGTGCATAAACGCGGTGTGGTGGAGTATGAAGCCCAGTGCAGCCGGGTACTGCGGATGCTTAGGTATCCCCGGTACATCTATACGACCAAAACGCTGTATGGTGACACTGGAGAGCTGATTGTTGAGGAGCTCCTGCTGAATGGCAAAATGACAATGTCGGCTGTTGTGAAGAAAGTAGCAGACCGACTCACGGAGACCATGGAGGGTCAGTACTGGATCTAAACTCTTAGCAAAGCCATAGGTCAGTTAGCTGCTCTATCATCTTAGGCCCTTCCACATCCCTCTTTCCTCCTATTCTACAGATGGCAAGACCATGGACTATGCTGAGGTGTCAAATGCATTTGTGCGACTGGCAGATACTCACTTTGTACAGCGCTGTCCCCTGGTTCCTGACACCAACAGTTCTGACCCTGGGCCACCACCGCCTGCCCCAACCCTTGTCATTAATGAAAAGGACATGTACCTAGTTCCCAAACTGAGCTTGATAGGTAAGGAATTTACATCCTGGAACTGATTTGCCTTAATTGGGGATTCTTCTTCACTGATTGTTATGTGAATGAACATCTTGACTGTTTGCCAGTTCCTTGCTATGTGCCAATCACGGTACTATGTAATAATGCAAAAGCTGTGAGCTGCCCAGAGGACATTAATCAGCCACATAGACATGTTATACAGGGGCTGGAGAGATGGCTCAGGTTAAGAGCACTGGCTGCTCTTCCACAGAACCCAGGTTCAATTCCCAGCACCCACATGGCAGCTCACAACTGTCTGTAATGTCTTTTCCAAGAGATCTGACTCTGTCACACATGCAGGCAAAATACCAATGTACATAAAATTTTTTAAAAACATGTTATATACTAATAAAAACTATGAAAGAGCTAGCTATTACAAAAATTATATAATGAGAGACTGGATTTGTGCAGGGATGAATGAAGGCTTATGTTTTTCTTTTTGGGGGGGGGGGAGTTGAGGTTTTTTTTTGGCAGGGGAGGGTTTTTTTTTTGTTTGTTTTTGTTTTTGTTTTTCAAGACAGGATTTCTCTGTATAGCCCAGGCTGTCCTGGAACTCACTCTGTAGACCAGGCTGCCTCTGCCTCCCAAGTGCTGGGATTAAAGGCGTGCGCCACCACCGCCTGGCTTATGTTTTTCTGAGAAAGTGGAATTTGATCTGGGTCTTGAAGCAGAAGTAGGACCTACCTAGTGAAGTGACAGAAGGTGGGTATTTTTTTAAGGCTAGTTGTAGTAAGAAAAGGGAATAAAGCATTAGAGAAAGTGAAAGGTCAGAGTTGCAGCAAGGGGAGCAAAGTTCCAAAAAGCCTGGGAGAAGGCTAGAGAGGGGAGGACCAGATAAACACCAGGTAAACAGGGCATTGCAGGGCATCTGTTCTCTAACTTGAGAACAAAGGAAGACTACTCAGATGTTAAGCAGGAAAGTCACGTGGTCTGATTTACATTGTAAATTGTCTAATAGGCTGAAAGCCGAGGACAAAGGCAAATAGAGACAGACTATTGAAAAAGTAGATCCAGAAGCAGTAAGAATACAGGCATCAAGAACATCTTCGTGCTAACCTGCACGTGTGAGAGCATGGGACCAAGTGGTGCCACTGCATGCATGGGAGCATGGTGCTGCAGTCCCTGAAAGGCAAACTAGGAGGAGAAGCAGCTCCTCAGCCTCCTAAACAGCTCCTAAAACAGGCAGCTACAGATGTCTTTGAGATGAAGAGGCACCAGCTTTGCTTCCTGCTATCATATGATATATATAGTCTAATTGTTCAGTTATTTTGTTTGGCAGGAAAAGGTAAGAGGAGGAGATCATCTGACGAAGATGCTACTGGAGAGCCCAAGGCCAAGAAACCCAGATACACAGATAACAAGGAGGTAATGGGGCTTCCTGATTAGCAGTTCTCACCCTAGAGCAGTCCAGAAATAGCCCTCAGATAACAAGCTCCGATCGAACCTAAGTGTTCCTGTCTAAGTAGTAGTAAGACTAGGAACTTCAGTCCATTGGTCAGGAGCAGACCAATGAGGACAGAATGTTCCTGCTGTGTCTGCCCACTTCTCCTGCCCCCTTTATAGTGAGGAACACTGAGAACTCCTGGGAGTTCTGGGACTCTCATGGAAGGAAGGCTCCATTTCCCTTCTGAGCCTTAGCTTATTTCACTAAATAATTATCCTAAATTATTCAAAAGAGAAAGCAGGGCTGGGTGTGGTGTGCATTCCTTTAACTCCAGCACTTGGGATGCAGAGGCAGGAGGATCTCTGTGAGTTCAAAGCCAGCCTGGTCTACATAATACAGTGATTCTCAACCCTTGGGCCACAACCCCTTTAGGGTTGAACAGCCCACAGGGATCACCTAAGACCACCAGAAAACACAAAAACTTTCATTATGATTCATAACAGTAGCAAAATTACAGTTATGAAGTTGCAACAAAAAATAAATTTATGGTTGAGGGTCACCATAACACAAGAAACTGTGTTAAAAGGTCACACTGTTAGGAAGGTTGAGAACAACTAGCATAGTGAATTCCAGGCCAGCCAAGACTACATAGTGAAACATTGTCTCAAAAAAAAAAAAAAAACCAAAAACCCGGGGTGGGGGGTCTGTCTGGGGGAGGCTTTAGCTGGGGACGTAGCCCAGTTGGTACATTGCTTGCAGCATGCAGGAATCGCTAGGTTTGATTCCCCAGGACCAAGTAAAAGCAGAAATGGTGCCCAGTGTGATGACCTATGCCTTTAACTGCAACACTTGGAAGGCAGAAACTAGCAGATTTTTGTGAGTTGGAGGCTAGCCTGGTCTACAGAGTGAGTTCCAGGATAACCAGGGCTACATAGTAAGGCCCTGTCTCAAACAAAGCAAACCAAAAATGGCACTACATAGCTATAATTCTGGGACTCAGAAGATAGAATCAAGAGAATCAGAAGTTATCCTTGACTACAAAGTAAGTCTAAAGCCAGCCTGGGTGACATGAAACCCTGTTCCCCAAAAAAACAACAAACAAATGGGTTGATTTTTTTTTTTTTTTTTAAGCTATGCTATCAACTCCTAACAATCCTTTTCCCTCACGCTGCTGAAATTACAGGCAGGTATAGATCATGTCTGCCTTGTTACGTGGATGCTAGGAGCCAAACTCAGATGGTTGCACAACAAATGACTTTAACTACTGAGCCGTCTCTCCAGCCCCCAGAACTGTCATCTTTTGGCAGCACTTCAAAACTCTTCTCAGTGGTCTCCCTTCTTGCCTTCTTCCTCGTTTAGCGGCCAGAGTTACTTTTTAGCTAGATGTAGTGGTAAATGCCCATAATCCCAGCACTTGGAAGGTAGAAGCAGGACGAGCCAAAGTCCGTGGTCACCCTCAATTACCTAGTAAGTTTGATGCCAGCTGAGCTTCCTGACACCCTATCTTAAAAAAAAAGAAAAAGAAAGCTAATCCAGAAACATGATCTATCAGGTGTGTTTAATCTTCAGGCCCAGCAGAAATCCCCAGGAAGATCCCTGGGGCTCACCAGCCATCCTGGCCTACTTGGTAAATTCAAGCCCAAGGAAAGATCCTATCTCAAAAAATAAAGAAAAGTAGATGTCTAGGGTCTCGAGAGGTGGCTTAGCTGTTAAGAGCACCTCCTCTTCTTTTTTTTTTGAACCTAAGGAAAAACTCTGTAGTTGGGTCCTTTATTTCTTTTATACACTAGGCCATGAATTCGTATGGAATGGGCTCCAGCAGCTCGGGCTCTTTCCCAGTAGTCCTCACAAAGTGTGCTTCTCTGGGTGGTGCAGGCTGGCGCTTCAGCTGAACCCAGGTGCCCTTCCCTTTGGCTTCCTTTTTCTTCTGATCGTTCTCCTTCACCCGCTTCAGAAAGCTGTCTCTGCTCTTCGAGTGTTTAATGGAGCACCTCCTCTTCTTCCAGAAGACCAAAGCTTGGTTCTTAGCACCTATGTCTGTAATTCCAGCTCCAAGAGATCCAACACCTTCTGGGCATCTTGGGGCCTCTGCACACATGTGTCACAAATGCATACATAATATGAATTAAAGAAAAATCTTACCGGGCTAGAGAGATGATTGAGCAGTTAAGAGTACTTGTTCTTGCAGAGGACCCAAGTTCAATTTAAACACCGTAACTCTAGTCCTAGGGGATCTTATATCCTCTTCTGAATGAATCCACAGGCACCAAGCGTGTCCCTGGTGCAGATACATGTGTGTACACAATCACACAGATGAGTAAAATCAAAAGGAAATCACTTTGGTTGGGTATGGTGGTGCGCACCTTTAATTCTAGCATTCAGAAGGCAGAGGCAGGTGATCTCTGAATTTGAGGCTACCCTGGTCTACGTAGTACATTCCAGGACAGCCAGAGCTATGTAGAGAGACTGTCTCACAACAACAACAACAAAAAAGTAGACATTTAGCTGGTCATGGTGTGTCACAAAGCTCTAATCTCTGTTCTTAGGTAAATTGAGAAACTGTCCTATTATGTCACGTACTTCAAAACAGTCAAGTAAGATCAGGATTCAGAATTATCCTCCGAGCTTAGCCACAAGGAGGCCCTTGAGAACAGAGGTGGAAGAGGAATACCGGTAACAACTGAAATTTCATACAGAGGTGGCTGAGCAAAGCCCGAGGGGGTATATCCAGGATGGATGGCTGAGGCAGGACAGCAGCGGAGGGGAAGAGAAGCAGGGAAGCATGGGGTGGAAGGAGAAGCCTTGGCCTGAGCAGGGTAAAGGCTGATGAGCAGAACAGTACAGGAGCGGTTGCAGCTTCAGAGGACAGGAAGCAAACGATCTGGATCCTGAGACCCAGGAGGAGGACGTGATCTAAAACAGCAGTGTGGCCCTTGCCCTTAGGTAAAAGGACAAACATTCCCCTGGGGGAGAGAGAAAAAGGAAAGTGGGGGATGGTGAAGGTGCTTCCTCAAAGTTGAATGAGTTCTGGCCTCTATTAGAGGAAAGGAGGTATCAAATGAGAGATTGGAGAGTAATGGAGAAGAATTAACTGAGGAAGAAGGTGACTTCGTGGAACCTGAAGTTAGACTTTGTTGGGACACATTACTCCACACTCTTGAATGCCTTTTCTCTGACCCATTTAATTGCTACAGTGTGACAAAACAAGTGGAGCTTTACCATGTAAATGCACTGGGGATGGCTGGTGCTGCAGCTCACTGCCTCGATATCCTCCTCTCCCCAGCCCACACCAGATGATGGGATTTATTGGCAAGTCAACCTCGACAGGTTCCACCAGCACTTCCGTGACCAAGCAATTGTGAGCGCAGTGGCAAACCGAATGGACCAGGTAATATCCACATGGGCCAGCCAGTGTTGAGCAAGGAATAAGGTGGGACTTTCAGATGGTTGTCAGATGTGGCCACTGGCCCAGGGCCAGAGCCAGAGGCAGCAGCAGTGTATTCTGAGTTGTCTGAATTTTTCAGACAAGCAGCGAGATTGTGCGGACAATGCTGCGGATGAGTGAGATTACCACGCCCTCTAGTGCCCCGTTTACTCAGCCACTGTCCTCCAATGAGGTATGATTCAGGTTGGGGGGGGGGGGAGTTGTTTTGTTTTGGTCTTTCTGTGCAGCCTTTGGCTCTCCTCGAAATCACAGAGCTCCACTCGCCCCTGCCTCCCAAGCGCTGAATTTACAGGTCTGCACCACCATGCCTGGTTTAGCTTCATATTTTTGTGCTAGCTTTCCAATAGATGTATTATATTAGTTATTAGACATAACTTCTAGGGTTATGTTGATGCCTGTGCCTTGTGGGGGAAAGGAGGTTTTTGTTGCTTCGAGTGGGGCAGGAATTTCTCGGAAATGTTAAGCACTGAAATGTTTGGCCACTTTAGAATCCAGCTTTTAAAAATGTTAAGCCATGGAGACTAGAGAGATGGCTCAGCTGTTAAGAGCTCTGGCTGTTTAGAACTCACTATGTAGACCAGGCCCCAAACACAGAGATCTACCTGCCTCTGCCTCCCAAGTTCTGGGATTAAAGGTGTGCAACCTTCTTGGCCTTTGTTTTACTCTTATAAACAATGATACTATGAATATTTTTTTAAGATTTATTTATTTAATGTATGCGAGTACACTGCAGCTGTCTTCAGACACACCAGAAGAGGTCATCAGATCCCATTACAGATGGTTGTGAGCCACCATGTGGTTGTTGGGAATTGAACTCAGGACCTCTGTAAGAACAGTCAATACTCTTAACCTTTGAGCCATGTCTCCAGCCCATGAATGTTTCTTAAATGCTTTTACATTTTTGAAATCTAAACTTAGAACCTCTTGTTTCAGTCACATTCAGCAATTCCTCATCCCTGGTCCCGCTCCCAGCATCTCCTTCTGTCCAACAGGTTTTCCGATCCCTGCCCGTCGGATATAACGTCTCTAAGCAGGTTCTCGACCAGTACCTCACACTGCTGGCAGATGACCCAGTAAGTCTCTTTTCCCTTAGCCTGATCAAGTTTATCTCCTATAGCCTTCTTGTCTACTTAGCCATCCCAGACCAAATCCCATCACCCAGCAGGAAAGCTACCTGCTTCAGACTCTTGACCAGATTTGCCCTGTGGGAAAGAGAAGTATGCAGTTAACACCATTCACTCTCTTCTTCACAGCTAGGATTTATTGGGAAGTCTGGCGACAGTGGCGGAGGAATGTATGTCATCAGTATCCTTCCCAGTTGCCTGCTCTGTCAGGACCCCCGAGTTAGGGAGCAGGGGCAGGGGGCCTAGGGAAGATTTTGGTTTTTTGTTGAGACAGTCTTTGTACCCCAGCCTGGCCTTGAACTCACTGTGTAGCCTAGAAGTTGGCAGTAAAGCCCTGATCCTCCTGCCTTTACCTCCCAAGTGCTGGGTTAGAGACATGTGCCACCACAAGAAAAGATTGTCAATGCTTAATATACTAAACGAGTTTTTAAAATGAACTTTCTATTCAGTTTTCTGTGAATTTTCAGTGAGTTACATTAATGAAAATAAAAAAGGCTTCGCCTGTCACTCAGTAACACCACACTTAGTGTTCAGGTTCTGGGCCAGATCAGCAGCATTGTGACAGAGAGGAAGAGGGTGGGGGCGGGGCAGGGAGATAAGAAAGGGAAGTAGCAGGGGAGAGACCAGTGTGATGGTAAGTGTTTATAATCAGAGCAGTTTAGGGCCTGAGGCAAAAAAGTTGAATGTTCAAGTCAATCTGGGCTACATAGCAAGACCCTGTCTCAAAAAAGAAAAGATTAAAAAAAAGTTTACTTAAGCAAACCCTTACAAATGTTAATATACTTATATCTCATACATAAAATGTAAAAAGGAAAATAGCAGCTAATTTTTAGTTTTAAATTAGGAATTTAGTCATGAAACTAAGGTAATAGTGATTACCAGATTAAACCATTTCTAAGCATCCTTAATCCTCTGCCTAAAGACCTCCATAAGGCATTAGCATCCCTAGCCACTGCAACACTGGAGTCTGTCATCCAGGAGAGGTAAGAGGCTCACTGGTTGGGGGTTGGGCTCAGACACTTCCTATCCACACCCCACCAAACAAGTAATTTGGTTTTTATGGCATACCCTACCACACTTGGTCTCATCTTCTCATAAAGTGAATTCCTAGTTAGGCAAATTAACCAGCCACCCTAAAGCTCTATAGTACAAGCACTGTGTCACTCTAAGGAGTAGACATCTGGTAACAAGAGGAACCATGCTACCACCAACCTCCCTCCGGCACTGTGGAAGAACGGATGCTGTTTTCTTCTCAGGTCCTGACTCCACATGTGGACTAGGACCTCCACACTCTGGGACTAGGAGCTAGAACATGCCAGGTGCTTCTCTGTCCCTTCCCAGGTTCGGGTCCCGCTGTGCCAGGATATTCCGTCTGGTATTGCAGAAGAAGCACCTGGAGCAGAAGCAGGTGGAGGACTTTGCGATGATTCCTGCAAAGGAGGCAAAGGATATGCTGTACAAGATGCTCTCTGAAAACTTCATGTTACTGCAGGTGACCACGGGGCCTCACTTGGCAAGGCTGACCTCGGAAGTACAAACCCGGAGGAAGTCAGTCTGGGTCCCCAGACAGACACTACAGCCACCTCTGAAACAGAAAAAAGATTAACACAGACTTAGCAAATCCTTGAAGGATCATGTAGACTTCAACTGGCCTGTCCGAGAGACAGACAGAGCACACCAATAAATCAGCTCACAATTCTAACTTTCCTGCCCTTTCTAGCCCCCAACCCATTCTTCCTGACCTTTCTCGGCCTTAAATCTTTAATAGAGTAACTTGATCAGCATAGCGTGGATCCTGTAGATCTATATTGAGGACCCTTTGAGGAAGTAGGTTGAGTGGATTTTGGAGTCAATCCACCACACAAGTCAACTACCATCATCTTCATATCTGTAAAATGGTGGTGGTTGCTGATAAAAAAAAACAGTGTGGTTCGGACTAACCATGGTAATGCACACATAGGACTCAGTACTAGGAGAGTAAGGCTGGAGGATTGAAAATCCAAGTATCACACTGTCCCAGTTATTAATAAAGTCTACTTGGAAAAATCAAATACAATCCACCTACACCTAGCATGTGTAGAATTTGCTCAGTAGGTGTTAGTTGCCTTTCCTTTCTCTGACCAAGGATGCTGATAGATAAACAATTGGATGGAAACTGGGCAGCCTGCTTCATGTGGCTGAATATGTCATAAACAAAGCCCCTGATTGGCTAGGAAGGAAAGAAGTATCAGGCTTGACAGTACCAGGTGGATGAGTGTTTATTTTGCCCATTCCAAATAACAGTACAATTTCTCTTTTTATTTCTGTGGACAAACAGGAAATTCCTAAAACGCCAGACCACGCCCCATCCAGGACCTTCTATCTGTACACTGTGAATGTGCTGTCAGCTGCCAGAATGCTGTTGCACAGGTGCTATAAGGTAACATGTGGGCCTCCTCCCTGTTCCTTCACACAGAACTCACCCTTCTACCTCCTTAGCCCACTCTACCCAAGTCACATAAACAGAACAAACAGAACAGCGTGCATCTCTGGTCTGTCTTCTCTTTCCTTAGAGCATAGCCAACTTGATAGAAAGGCGGCAATTTGAAACAAAGGAGAACAAGTGAGTGCAGCCTCCGTGAGTCATGTTCAGTTTTGGTTTGGGGTTTTTATGCTGATCCAATAACTAAAAGAATACGTCTGCTTCTTGACCTAGAACCTGTGGGCCCCAGTGCCCACATTAACAATTCGTTAACATTTCCAGGGTCCAAAGCCAGAGGGAAAACTTGCTATAGAAATGGCAATACCCAGTCTAGTTGCACTGAGTCATAGCTTTGGCTTAACCATGCCTTAGTTTACCCTTGCTGACTATTCCCCCAGTTAAATTAGCTTGCAGATTTATGAGGCATGTGCTTGAACCCGGAGTGTAAGTGCTGCTGAGAGACAATGAATGTTTCAGGAACAAAGTTCTACTTGTAACTAAGTTTATGAAACATGTCTTTAGATGAAAGATAGAAAGGGCAAAAGAAAGTTAAGGAGCATCCCTCAGAGCTGTGTCTGTCTGATAGGCGGCTTCTGGAAAAGTCTCAGCGGGTGGAAGCCATCATGGCGTCGATGCAGGCCACGGGCGCAGAGGAGGTGCAGCTGCAGGAGATCGAGGAGATGATCACAGCCCCCGAGCGGCAGCAGCTGGAGACACTGAAACGCAACGTTAACAAGTAAGCTCCGCAAGTCCAGACCTGCACTGGCATGGCCTTTCAAACAAATACAGCTTCACAGTCTCACCTCCTCCACCTTAACGTGAGCAAACCTGAGGACAGCATCGTCTCCCCTAGCCTGACTGAGAGAATTGAACCTGCCAGGAGTGATGGCACATGCTTTTAATCCCAGTGCTCAGGAGACTTAGATCTCTGAGTTTTGGGACAGCCAGGGAGACCCTGTCTCAAGAGTATGAAACCTGCCTGTTTTTCTAGGTCAGCAGTTCTGAGGCCATCATGCTTGTGTATAATCTCATTCACACTTTACTTCAGTCTCAAGTGTGGCATTCCATCTTGGTCCTTGCACAGACTTTCATTACCTCTTGCCTTGAACTTTGCAATTACCTCATCCTACAAACCATGTATCACAGTGCATTCAAGGTAGGGGTGTGTGTGTGCAAGCACACACATGCCATGCATGTGGAGGTTATTCTGGGACTCAGCCTCGGGTCCTCACACTTGGATGGCAGGCATTTACCCACTGGCCCATCTCCCCAGCCCCCAAGCTGTTTATTGTCCTAAAAGTGATGACTGGCAAGAGCATCACTCTCCTAGCTAAAGTGACTTATTGCTTCCTTGCATGTGTGTGTTTGTTTGTTTATTTATCCTTTGGTTTGGGAAGGGGTTATGTTTTTGACTAAAGGTCTCATAGTCTACACTAGCTTTGAAATTATTCTATTGCTCGAACCACCTCCACCCCCAAAGTGCTAGGATCACAGATGTCTATCACCACAGCTTGCTGAGACAGTTTATTGGTTTATTTTTTTTACAATATGAAATCCAAATTCATTACTGTGCCATGGGGCCTTTCACAGTTTCATAGCAGTGGGCTTCCACTTTTATTTCCTTTACTCATCAATGGGGACTATGTAAATTTATTAGTTCTGGTGATTATTTTTATGGGTTCCTAGAGATTTTCTATGTCACTTGTGAATAGTTCTACTTCACAATCTGGATTTCTCTCTTGCCTAATTGCCTTGTCTAGCACCTTGGTTAGAAGGCATTGAAGGACATCTTGGCTTTGCTCCTCATCTAAGGAGGAAAACTGAGTGTTTCAGCATTAAGTGTAGTGATCTGTGCTGCGGTTCTGTGTCTTCACTGAATTTTATCAGAGTGTGGAAGTCCCTTCCTCTTCCCAATTTTTTTTTTAGGTTTTTTTGAGACAGGGTTTCTCTGTGTAGTCCTGGCTGTCCTGGAACTCACTCTGTAGACCAGGCTGGCCTCAAACTCAGAAATCCGCCTGCCTCTGCCTCCCAAGTGCTGGGATTAAAGGCGTACGCCACCACTGCCCGGCAAAGCTTTATTTATTTATATGAATACACTGTCACTGTCTTCAGACACACCAGAAGAGGTCATCAGATCCCATGACAGATGGTTGTGAGTCACCATGTGGTTGCTGGGAATTGAACTCAGGACTTCTGGAAGAACAGTCAGTGCTCTTAACCGCTGAGCCATCTCTCCAGCCTTCCTCTTCCCAATTAGCACCAACTCTCTGACTGCTCGTGGCTGTAAAGCTGTCTGCCCTTTGCCTCTACTTTTCCTGTTCTTTCCCATGCTGTTCTTTCTCATGGTTGCATGTGAAACTTTAACACTGTCTTTGTAGCCTCAGGAGCTCCATGGCACCTGGCTTGGGAGGGATGTAATGGAATTATCTACCGGGTAACTCACCTTCCATCTGCTCAGGGATAAACAGGCAATTCTGTGTGGTCACACTCAGCCCAGCCTCCAGTCTTGGATGTGCTAATGAGCACTGACCCCAGGCAATTGCTTTCACTCTTTCCCTCAGGTTGGATGCCAGCGAGATCCAGGTAGATGAAACCATCTTCTTACTGGAATCATACATTGAGAGCACCATGAAGAGACAGTGACCCAGAAGAAGCAATGCTGGGATCAAACTCAGGGCCTGTCACATGCTAGTCAACTGATGTACCACTGAGCCATATCCCCAACCAGAAACCAGCATCCTTCTCAAAAGATCTAGGAGATGGAAAAGAAGAAGAAGGTGCTTGGATGCATTCTTTGCAGTGATTTTTTTTTTTTTAATGTTTTTTTCGAAACGGGGTTTTCTTTGTATAGCCCTGGCTGTCCTAGAACTCACTTTGTAGACCAGACTGGCCTCGAACTCGGAGGATCCTCCAAGTGCTGGGATTGAAGGCGTACACCATGATCAGCTTCACTGAAGATTCTAGTACTGGCTCCCTGTTCCTGTCTTTCCCAGATGCTCATGATATACCTGAAAGAGTATATTCTCCTCTCATCAAATCCTCACAGTATGATAAATCTTTTAAATAAATGAGAACACTCATAAATTATATGTATCTATTTTTATCAAGAAGTCAGCTAGGGGTCAGCGAGATGAGTTACTGGCATGAGAACCTGAGTTCAGATGCTCAGTACCCACATAAAATCTGGGTGTGATGCTGGGGGCCCTAACCCTGGGAAATGGTCATATCTCTAAAACAAATTGATGAGTTTCTGGTTCAGTGAGACCCTTTCTCAACAAATAAGGCAAAGGGCCAGCAAGATAGATGACTCAGTGGATAAGGGAACTTGCCACGAAAGCTGATGACCCAGCTCCAGAACCCATATAGTAAAAGAGAAAAAACTCCTAACAAATTGTCTCCTAACCTCTCTTTGGGCACCACGGCACACATAGACATGCGCACATACACACAAATGTAAAATAGTAAGACAGGAAGTAATCAAGGAAGACACCCAGCTCTTAGCTTCTAATCTGGACACACATGTACACACCCATATAATGTGTACATACACCACACATACAGAAGAAGTCCACCAAAGCTGGGCATGAAGACATATACCTGTGATCCCACCAATAAGGAAGCTAAGATGGGAGATTACTGCAAGCTCAAGGTCATCTTGGGCCTTTTGATGAGTTTCAGGCTACTGTGGGCAATAGAGTGAGAACTTGTCTTAACGAAACACAAATTGGGCTGGAGAGATGGCTCAGTGGTTAGAAGCACTGACTGCTCTTCCAGAGGTCCTGAGTTCAATTCCCAGCAACCACATGGTGGCTCACAACCATCTGTAATGGGATCTGATGCCCTCTTCTGGTGTGTCTGAAGAGAGCAATGGTGAACACATAAATAATCTAAAAAAAAAAAAAACCACAAATTAAGTCAGCCAAGCCCATGTTGAAACACCCCTGAATTAGTTACTCTTATGATAAAATATCATGACCAAGGAACTTGGAGAAGACCCTTATCTGGCCTTACAGTCCCAGAGTAACCAAGCCAGCTCAATCAGTCAACAGGTTCTCCAGGGCAGGAGTGAGGATTAAAGAGAAACAGACAATTAGACAACACTAGCCAGTTCTGAGGCTGAGGTGGGTTTATTTTTTCCCAATCTGCTTTTATACCATTTTAATTACATGCAGGTAATAAGGCCAGTTCTAAGTTAAGGAACAAGCAAGACAACACAAATAGTCAAGGAACAAGCAAGGCAGTAAACAAAGTTCCAAGATCACTGTTTCTAAGGGCTTCTCAGAATGACCAAGATATCTGAGCCTACTTCCCTGTCCTAGCACAAGACATTCTTGTCTGAAGCCTACTTCTTTGTTCTAGCCCCAAATCAGATTTTGGCCTGAGCTTATTTCTGAGTCCTGTCCCATTATCCGATTCCTGCCAAGTGGCCCCAGAAGCTGTCTGCACAGGTTCAGAGTCCAAGATTGTGGAATGAAGGCCTGGTGGCAGGAACCGGAAGCCTACCCCAGTGACATCCTCCAGCAAGGCCACACTTCCTAATCCTCCCAAATAGTGCAATCAATCGGGAATCAAGTGTTCAAATGCACAAGGGAAGCTGTGAACTATCACAGTCTCTCAAATTTCTTCCTAAGCAACAATTACATTTGCAAACTTCTATGCCCATTTCACTGAGTTGTAATGTGTAACAAGTGCACACAGTGTACAGAATAACGGACTGCTGTTGGAGGAAGTAAAATACTCTTCTCTTTGGGGCTCTTTGTCATTGGTTTTGAGTTTTGTTTTGTTTTTTTTTTTGTGACAGGGTCACAAAACCCTGTATAAACCCTATATAGCTAGGCTAGCCTGAAACACACTGTAGAGACCAGGCTGGCCTCAAACTTGAACAATCTTCCAGCTTCTGCTTCACAAATACTAGGATTAAAACATACACTGCACACCCAGCAAGAAAACCAATAAGAATCCATTGGAGAAAACTAAGTTTTCTTTGTACACACTGATCAACTGTGATAGCTTCCATGTTAAGGATGGGATATGTGTCTACTTCTCCTCTCAGTGCTGGGACCATCTGGCTTAGACCCGCACAAGTCCTATGCAAGTAGCCATCCATAATCTGTGAGTTCATATATGTGCCAGTCCTTCTGTGTCAGACAGCCTTGTTTGCTTGGGGTCCCCCACCCCTTCCAGCTCTACGATCTTTCCAGCTCCTATTCCACAGAGTCTTCTGAGCCCTAAGGGGAGGGGTTTGAGACAGAAATCCCATTTAGAGCTGAGTGTTCCAAGGTCTCTCACTCTGTTCATTGTCTCGTTGTGGGTCTCTGCATTTGTTCCCATCTACTGCAGGAGGCTGCTTCTCTGATGCTGGCTGAATAGGACATGAACCTAAGAATATAGCAGAATGTTGTTGGTAGTCATTTTATTGCCATGTTTCTTTAGCAGAGTATAGTATTTGTTCCCCCCCCCTCAACCCCCAGGTCCATGGCTTATCTGGTCTCAGGTTCTAGCCCATCCCAGGAAGCACTGGGCATGAGTTCCATCTCATGGAGTAAGCCTTGATTCCAACCAGACAGTGACAACCTGAGGCTTCCCCCTGGGCTCACATTGTGGAAGGGGGAAACCAACTCCTCTGACTCCACAGCCTGCCATAGCAAGTGCATGCCCAACCTCCCCAACACTGGCATAAATAAATGTGATTAAATATTTTTAAAGATAAAAGATTGTGTCTGCCTTCAAACTACTCACCATCACTTACTAAGCATGGGATGCACGAGGGCCTGGGGTTTGACCCTAGAACTGCACAAACTGGGCATGTGATGCAGAGGGACGTGGAGACCAGCTAGTCGAAAGGCCAACTAACATCAGTTTTGGCTACACACGTTTGAGGCTATCCTGGATTACATGAGACCCTGGTTTACCCAAAAAAAAAAAGAAAAAAGAGAGAGAGAGAGAGAGAGAGAGAGAGAGAGAGAGAGAGAGAGAAACGGGCGGTGGTGGCGCACGCCTTTAATCCCAGCACTTGGGAGGCAGAGGCAGGAGGATTTCTGAGTTCAAGAGTTCGAGGCTAGCCTGGTCTACAGAGTGAGTTCCAGGACAGCCAGGGCTACACAGAGAAACCCTGTCTCGAAAAACCAAGAAAAATAAAAATTAAAAAAAAAAAAGAAAAAAGAAAAAAATTATTAGGTATCTGATGTGGGAGCATAGTTAATTTGAGATGCTCCCTGCTGAGAGGTGAACAGCCGCTTAAGTGAAGATCAGCCTTGGCTTGGTAGGGAATAACATGCTAGTCCAGAAATGATTCTGCCTAGGGATTACTGTCCAAACAGAGAAGTCAGAAATAATGCTAAAGGAAGTGAGAAACTGGAAGATTTATTTGTGCTTTATGAACATTACACCCAGGGATAGTCCCTAAAAGTTGTTATCTAAATTTCCCAGTGGGACTGGAAAACTTTGCTTGCGTGGGCCGGCCGGAAGTTGCACGCCTCACCGCGCTGTGCCATCAGGAGGCGCCAGGCAAGCAGTGACCAGAGCTGCGCGATGGCTGCCGCACGGTTGCTGCTGCGCCTTGCTGGGCGCCTGGAGTCAGTGAGCTTCACACAGAGTGTGTGTGGCCTCCTGGGCGCCAGGCAGGGACCCGGGCCGTGGCACACGCATTGCAGCTTGGAGCGAGGACAGCTTGTCCTCTCTAGCAATTCATTCCCCGGCGCTTCGGAGAGGCTTCCAATCCAGGTCGGGACGGAACCAATAGGGAAAGTGAGGGCAGTTTGGGGACAGGGGGGGTGGCGACAGGCCAGCTCCCACCATGAGCACCCTTAATTTCTGGAAGTCCTATCCTGCTTCCGAAATCTTAGCCTGGCCAAACAAACCCCTCTTGCCAGAGACCCCTTTTCTGCCCTTTTGCGGCTCTGGACCAGCAGCCTGAGGTCTCCAGGACAGAGCCGCTCACAAATAGAGGCGTGGATCTGGGTGTGGCAGTCATTCTTCAGTCCAGTGACCAGACTGTATTGTTGACCCGAAGGACATGCACCCTCCGCATCTCCCCCAATCTGTGGGTCCCTCCAGGTGAGCACCTAGGAACAGGGTCTATGGGAGACAGGTGCCCTTTTCCTCCATGTTATTGGGTAGTTCCATAGTGGTGACCCAAGGACTGTGTCCACAACAAACTTCCTCTGCCCACTGGAGAACAGGGTCTCTGATTGGAGACAACAACCGTTCATATTGGGCCCACTCCTCTTGCAGGTGGGCACATGGAACGTGATGAGGAGGTACCAATCTGCCGACCCAATCAAGAGACCCACGTGGAGGCACCTTGGGTGTGGGCTGAGGGAGGGAGGGACAGAGAAAAGGACTTGGTAGGGTTGAGCTTTGGATACTCTGACCTGCTCCCTTTGACTCCCAGATCCTGGAGTGTGGGCTTCGAGAGCTCTGGGAAGAGTGTGGAGTACAGCTACCCCAGAACCAGATTTCTTGTGTCCTTCTGGGGTTATGGGAGGTGAGAAAGAACGACCCCTAAAGCCCACTGAGTAATCCTTGTCTGCTTTGGGCAGTGAGGAAAAGTGTGGGTGGAGTCCCCAAACCATAGCTCTCACTCATGTCACCTTACCTGCTTACCTGTTGCTACCCACTCCTCCGGTTTTGGGCCAGCATTTTGTCTCCTAAAGCCCTATTACAAAGTCTCAAAGATAGTAAGTTTCTCAATATGCTATATCGGTTTTGTTTGTTCTTGTTGGTTTGCTTTTTCCTTCAGTCTGCCTACCCTCCTAGGCTGAGTTGGGGTTTTCCCAAATACCATCACCTCGTTCTCTATATACTTGTGATCTCCCAGGAGTCACAGGAGCAGCTCCAGGTAGGCTTGGCAGTGGGGAAAGACAGGATATGTGACCTGGTTGTAACTGTGAGTAGAAGACAAAGGGAGACAATCAAGCAACAAGCTGCCCCTGCTCCTTGTGTCTCCTCTCCACCTGTGGCCTCTTCCCCTAAGTGAAGAACCAACATGTCTGACCCCAGGCCAGGATCCACATAAATCCAAATGAGGTGAATGCCTTTATGTGGCTGGGACCAGATGTAGCAGCGGCTGTGGCTGCCACAGAGAGTGGGACAAAGACACCGGAACCTCTCTCCCAGGACATACCACTCTCTGTCTGGTAAGACTTTTTCCTTTAGCTATCAGCAGACAACATACATGCACAAGCATGCGTGGGGGGGGTGCAGTTTGTAGTTTCATGTTGTGAAAGAGATTTAGGGAATGAGTTGGTCTACTGATAATCAAAGACCATCTGAGACCAAAGACGCTGAATGTAGCTCTCACTGAAGACCTTGGTTTGAGCCCTTACTCTCCCATAGGATAGAGTCGCTTAAACCCCCTTTCTCCCAAGTGAGGTTAACATTCACTTGCCTTCTGCAATAGTTTGGAAGGATTAAATGGCTCAATATACTAAAGTTCATTGTAAGCCACAAGGCACAACCCAGACAGAAACTGTCACAATCCAGTGCAACCGAGCTGAGGGGTGATGGAGGAACGCAACCTCTGGTCCTGCCCATGCCTATACTCATGCGGACAACCCCAACCATGGCAGAGGAGGACAAAGAAAGGGTCAGCGCTGGCACCAAGTTTGCCCTCCAGCTCTGGCTGCAACATCTGGGCAGATGAAGGTAAGGAACGACTTGCAGGTAGCACAGCCTTGGTACAGGATGGTCTGGTGTTCTGAGGACTGCTCTTGGCCATGCTTGTGTGAAGGCCCCCACTCCTTCCCAGGTAAAAGTGAAGTTCACACAGACCCCAGACCAGCAAGGAAGCCTGGCAACCTGAGGTCTGAGGCCAATCCCTGGGATCTCCTTCAAGATGGAAGGACAGGTCCTACTCCATGAAGTTGCCCTCTGACCTCCACATGCAAAACCATGGCGCACATGCCCACATACACAGTAATAAACATTGTAAATGTTCTTTTTTTTTTTGTGAAAGGATGGAACATGGACCCTCTGCCCCACAAACCCTGGGTCTGGAATGCGAGGTACAACATCTCTTCCCCTCCATGACGCTCACAGAACATTCACAACCTTTATTGTAGGCGAGAACTCTGCTACAGCTCTGGGAGTAAAAAGTAAAATCACATCATAGGGCCTTGACCCTGAAGGGGCCTGAGTATGGGGAAGGAGGACACAGAGTTCCTGTGTCCCACAGAAGGTGCAAGAATAATCTAGGCCGGAACACAGGTCACTAGAAGCTTAGGCCCTTGGCTGTTTAGCATAAAAACATCATGAACTTAAATATATAAATAGAGAGACCCAGGCAGTAGACGGGCCACGCCCTGCTCCTGAGCCCCTGGGAATCACAACTAAGGCCTTGTTTCCTCCTCACAATGGGAAGTAAAAGGCAAGGGAAGTCATCTTTGGATACTTTGGGGTTTTCTTATTTATGTACAAAAAAGAAATCCGCAACCCAAAATAGAGTTCTCTGTCCATCTCTGACCTATAGCCTGACTATGGCCAAAGAGAATGGAATGGACATAAAAGACCAGATGTTTGGGTTTGGGTAGGGAAAGGGGCAGGAAAGTACCTTTCCCCAAGAGGCTGAAGATCTGGTAAAGGCTGAGGACCCCCTCTTCCCTCAGTTCCTATCCTTCCATCCACCTCCCACAGCCTAGTTTACCATACCCAAAGGAATGTGCCACCATCAAAGAACACTTCCAAAAACAGACCCCAGTGTCCTTTTAAAAAAGGTTAAATGTTAACCCTGTGAGTACTGGCCTTGTTAGTCAGTGATAAGGCCAAAAGCAAGTATCCATGAAGGTCTGGCCTGGCCTTTGGCCAATGACCCCTGAGGGATCAGAGCAGCCAGGGGTTGGGAACCCACAATGTGTCTGCTCAGTGCTGGGGCCAGTGGAGATTGATTTTGTAATCCAAATAACTCAGTCCAAGGAAATGACGTCTGACCGACAGCCAGTCAAAGCAGGACCTGAAGGCAGGGGTCCTCCATGCCCTTCCCTCAAGGAACTCCCAGGAGCCACAATGCTGCTGACACGACCAGGAGGGGGCGCTGGAGTGGAGCTGCGGTGAGAGCTCCCCAGTGTGGGGGCCAGTGGGCCCAGGAAGTGGGAAGGGGTTCCCCGGTACTGGAAGAAGTGGCCAAGGGTGTCCTGTTCATCTAGCGAAGTGATAACTGAAGGACCGTAGTGCTGGAGGGATGAAGGGCACAGCTTGACGTCTTATCTTGACTCAGCGCCTCGCTCACCTCAAAACCACCTCGTGGGGTACCAACCCTTGTGGATCTCATGGCACTCTTGAGAAGAAAAGCTGGGGACCTCTCTGACTCTGCTCTGTTCCCCCAGACCCTTCTCCTGTGCCTTGCCTTGAGACAGCCCCTTCAGACATCCAGTTCTTGGCTTTGTGGGTGTCTGAAATATGTGGAGCGCCCACTGGGGAAGGTTCTGAGTAATGTGGGAGTGAGTGAGCAGGAAGAGGGGCGCTAGGAAGGCACAGGTGTGAATAGTCTCCCCTCACAGAAAAGCATTTTTAAATCCCTAGGGAAACTGAGCAGGGGAAGAGTGTATCATCAGTATCTAGAAAGGACTCTCCCGGGTTCTTAGATCTTCTGAGACATGACCACTTACCTGACTCTCAGTCTGAAGGAAAGAAAATAAATCTAAACCTGGTAAGGAAAGAAAAATCAAAATCAACCCCCTTCTGACTCCTTTACCACAAGAAAAAAAAAATCCCCCTGTCCCTGGGGCTCTGCAAAGTAACAGGTCTGGAGAGGGTGACAGGGCAGGACCCTCCCTCCTCCTTAAGGTCAGTGTTCTACCTTGGATATCAGCCCCCAGTGGGAAAGCAGGTGGGTACTCATGGAGTGGGAGACCAGACAGGAAGTCACTGCCCAGTGTGCCCATTGCAGGGCTCCGCAGCACCGAGGACGGCTGGTGACCAGAGGTCAGGGCTCTGTGGGTGGAGAGAAAGAGCTGGAGAATCTAGGCAAGTGCAGTTACCCAAGGTCCCATTCCTCCTGCCCTTCCCTGTCCCAAAGCTCGCCCTGTGGCCAGAAGGCAGTTCTGGCATCTGTCCCTCCACTATAGAAGCAGCCTTTCTGATGGATACCCTTTGCTTCCAGGAAGGGCTGGAATGGCAGCCGAGGTAACGGGGCAGTGCTTCTTGATGGGTGGCAGATCTTCCTCATCTGATGAGCTTTCGATGGTCAAGTCAATGACTTCAACCCTCTTCTTATTCTCTGACTGATTTCCCTCCTGGACTGGGCTGTACTGGAGACCTGTGGGTGGTTAAGAAGGCTGTCTCAGAAAAAGGGTCACCCATGATTTAGTTCAATTGGGGAGCAGGGGGTCACTCACCATCCAGCCCATACCCTGGCGGGGGGCAAACCTCTGATGCCTCCTTCTTGGGTTTCATTGGACACCAGGATCCATCTTCCATGAACTGGATCTCATCACAGTCCGAACAGGAATTAAGAATTTCCATGAATAAACTAGGGGAGGAAGACATGGCAATTCATGAGGCTGGAAGAGGCTGGACCCGCCCTCAGGGTTCTGAGACTCACTTCCTGTGCCTTGGTCACCTCTTCTGCATTACCCACCCTACTGGACCTCTCTGAGCTGCTGCTGGAATCGAAACACAGACTGGGACTGAAGCTCAATAACAGAGCGCTTGCTTGGCATGCAGGCCCTGAGTCTGATCCCTAGCATTGTGGGGGAAAGGATGTAAGAGAGTTTCGGCACAGGGTTAAATCTTCCTAAGAGAAAATGTGAGAGCCCTGGTGGAGGCTGTGGAAGGGGACTAAGACCACTTAGGACCAAGAAAATCACTTGCTTATTAGGGGTTATGGTGGAAGACTAGCTATATAAGTACATCCAGGACCTCAAAAAACAAACAAACAAACAAACAAACCCTTACTGCATCAATCTAATAAATGCTTTTGTAACAGGAAAAATGAGGAGCCCGGCCGCTATGCTCTGTGGGAAGATCAGGTAGCTGTTGTCAGCAATGCATTGAAACGATTCAGTGTACTGCTCTGTCACTTACTAATGTGACCTTCAGCCCTAGGTCCCTTTTCTCATCTATCATGATGGCACCTATGTCGTGGGGCTATCATGAGGACTAATGAGAAAATGCATTCAGAGTGCTGAAGTCCTTAATGTCACACACATGGTGGTGGATGGTCAAGGAGATGGAGAGGGGAAAGCTGGGATTTATGGGAAGTAAGCCATAAACGGGAGAGGGGAGGCCTTGGAGACTGTCCTAGGAGACAGGGAAGCTGAAGAGCCCTACCCATCAATAATCAGTGACTCATAGGGAGCCTTCTTGTCACACACAGGGCATGTCCATGTTGGCTTCTTCTCATTCATCTGTAGATAAAGGGCAGCATCGAAACTCTGCAAGTGGGCACAGGTGAGGGCACGGCACGGGACAGTCAGGCGCATCTTCCCTAGCTGAGGAGAGGAGAGTTCACGCTAGCAAACCTTGCTCTGGTATCCTGAGGAACCCTCTTCAGAATGTAACCCACCCCACCTCCCACTTCCTGTCCCCTCTTGTACCCACCGGACACATGAGTGACACCCGGAGACTTGTAGTAGCCACTTCACTGTCGGGGTCAGCAGTCAATTTCTCCTTGACTGAAACAAGAGTGGGGCCAGAGCCAGGGGTGAGCGAGGCTGCCTGGCAGCAGACAGTCCCAGCTACGGCAGCTGAGGAGAGTGTCTGGGGGCCCATGGTGTGTCACAGGAGTGGAGAAGAGATGTCTGCATCCTTGAAGATGCTTAAACAATCCAGGGTAAAAGTGTGGGCTATGTTAGGGAGATCTAGATGGGAGGGAAGCATCATAGGAGATCAGATGAATGAACTTCAGGGCTTTTCAGCACAGAGAACTCATAGTAGAGTGGGGTTAAAGTCTCTGAGATACAAAACTGTTGTGTGATAAGCAACGCAAAGCTCTTCCAACTGCCTGAGGTTCTAACTCCCCAACTGAGACTGAGGAGAAAACCAGGGAGGCCATATGAAAGCTTCTCCTGATAAATTTAGCATGGAGGGCAGCAGCAAGCCCTGAGCCCAAAGCAGAAAGAGGAAAGGGCTATTACTCACTCAGTGCCCGGGAATGGTCTGGATTCCGGATACCCTTGGCTCTGAGCTTTTGTAGAAGGGTCCCTGCAGTCAACTGCCTCACCAGGTACACAGACAAGGAGTAATTCTACTTGGGGAAGGGAGAGGGGCCGTTAGCTTCTGCTGCCCACACCTCCTCTTTCCCGATAGCCTTTGTCTCACAGAGACCAGGGACAGTGGCCTTTAGCAAGCAGAAAGGCCTATGAAGAGCAAGACAAATCCCCAGCACAAAACTAGATGGTTCCCTGCAGGCTCACCCGTCCAAACTCAGATGACCAATTAACCACGATGGTGTTGGGAACAGTGGCTGAGAGTCTAGCCAGGGGTGTGATGTTGATCGGACGGCTGGGTCTCTTGGGCTCAGCCCCATTCTTGGTTGGAGGGAGGTAACCCTGAGGAAAGGAGGGATTTGTTAGTGGAGAGAGAGTGCTGGGAGGGGTTCCACTCTGACAACAGAATTCCTGTCTCAGATTACCCTCTGGAGGGAAGCCAGCTCACCTATGAGCAAAGGAATAAGGAGCCACTCCAAAACAAGGTCCTACGTAGGGCTATGTAAGGGGTTCACTTCAGTGGTCAAAGGGGGAGTTTATTGACCAAGGAGCTAGGAGCCCAGTCACTGGGTCCCAGGGGTCCACTTCATCTGATGTCACCTTTCAGAGGTCTTTTCTAAATCTCTGGGTTTTTTTGTTTTGTTTTGTTTTTTGTTTTTTGTTTTCCGAGACAGGGTTTCTCTGTGTAGCCCTGGCTGTCCTGGAACTCACTCTGTAGACCAGGCTGGCCTCGAACTCAGAAATCCACCTGCCTCTGCCTCCCAAGTGCTGGGATTAAAGGCATGCACCACCACTGCCCGGCTTAAATGTTTGTATTAAACTCGTGTCCCTCTCCTGAGTTCTGACAAAACTTATTCAGCCCTATTTTATTTTACTCATTTTTTTTTATTAATTCACTGAGAGTTTCATACAACGTGTTTTGATCCCATTCACCCCATCCTCAATTCTTCCCAGAGCCACCCCACTTTTCTACCCACCCAACTTTGAGCCCCCCTCCCTCTTATTAACGTATCAAGTACAGTTTGTGTTATCCATATACTCTTAAGATAGGTGGCCTTTCACAGGACCCCGGTTGACCTACTAGTCAGTCCTCTTTTAATTCTCTCTAGATGATAGTGATTTCATCAATAAAGTGAGCAACTACTACATGCCAGTCACTGTTCTAAGCATGTCTTTTCATAAGAGGTTTTTACTTAATATTTATCCTTTGCCAAAGAGAAAGACTCTGTACCTACCGGCAGGGGGCAGAGTTTCCCATTAACCTTGACAAAGAGGTTAGGGGGGAAATAGTCCTCCTGGGGGCAGCTGGTCTCACAGAGACAGAACCTGTTGAGAAAGGACAGGTGAATCGGGTAAGTGGCAGTTTTCTGAGGTGAATCCAGCACTGAAGCAAGGAACTCCAGAAAAAAAGAAAAAAAAAATTAGTTACAGGTATCTGTAGCCATCAGCATCCAGCAGAGTCCAGGCCAGAGTGGACTGGGGCTGGGGAGGAGGAGGATGCCGTCCTCCTGTTTAGCACCCACCCTTGTAAGAGCAACTTACCTGAGCTGCACCTGTATGGTATAATCGCACTTGGCTCCCGGCAGAACCTCCCTGCAACAAGGAAGAGGCATGTCAGTCCAGACGGGGAGCAGAAGAGCGTCCAGGGCACAGAGGAGACATGCAAAAGAAGGAGACAAAGCAGGACAGAGAGGACAGTCCCAGGGACAAGGCAGGGATGACCGGTGTACCTGGACGTGAGAATCTGCTGCAGCTGCTGGGGCGTGAGTGCGAAGGTAAAGTGGGCTTCCTCAAACCTCTGGCTGGAGGTGGATGCTGCGGACACAAAGGCACAGATAGTTGCAAGCCCACAACTGAGAAGCTACCTGCTTCCATCCCATAGTGCCAATCCCACAAGAGTAAAACCTAAGAGGAAAGATTCCAGCCTGAACCTGAATCTGGAAGGCCCGAGGGACCACTCAGCCATACCAAGGGTAGTGGGCCGGATGAGCTCCCCGTAGACTTCATAGAAGGGCAGTGGTTTCATGGTGACGTCAGGGTGCACAGGCTGGGGCAGAGGAGGGTGAATGTCCACCTCACGCTTAGGGCCCAGCAAGGTGCCAGGGGTCAGAAGGGAGGGAGGAATGGGAGCAAGGGAGCCAGGGGAGCCTACAGGAGAGGTGCCAGGGGGCAAAGAGAGCAAAGAAAGATCAGAAGGCCCCAGGGTCTTCCGCGGAAAGCGCCTGCGGTAAAGTTCTTTGATCTTCATCTGGACGCTGGGGGCACAGCTAGACTTGAGGAGGTGCAGGGCCTTGGCCAGCAGCTCGTGTTTCCGCCCACTCTTGTTCCTGCCAGCGAAGCCAAGGAGCACCTGGAGCTCAGACACTCGGAAACTCATCACCATGTGCTGCGGAGAAGAGCACAGAAACAATACGACTTCAAAAAGGCCTGTCCTGCTGGTGACATGGAAGCTGAGATACCGGGGGACAGTGCATCTCCTCTCCGTCCCCAGTGTCGAAAGGTGCTCTAAAGCTAGTGTATACCTCTGAGTAACTGACCTGACGGACTAGCTGAAACCACAAGGACCACCTAGCCCCGTCCCTACCCCTAATCCAGACATTCCCTTAAGCTGATTATTGTCTCTTAGGGCTCAGACTCTCAGAGCCCTAGCCTCCTGGGAAAAAGATAGGACACAAGGAAGGAGAGGATTCAGGGTAGACAGGCCCCATGAGAAAGAGGCCAAATGGCAAGAGGATTGCATCCCACCGCCACCCTCAGTCCATTCCTGTTCTCCCCATAGTTCTGAATTGAAACTTTTATGGTCTGGGATTTTAGGTCAGAGTCGAACACTCCATCCTCCTCCCCCTCCTCTCCACCTTTTACATTATCCACTCCCACTCCTGCCGCACTGTTTACTAGAAGGAAGCTACCAAAGCTTGTAGCGGAGAAGGGTGAACCCACAGTGATAGGTTATTTCCCTGCAGTGGAATGAGCCGATTCAAACCAGATTAGATTATATTAAAGGCAGGTTTATTGAGAAGTTGCCCCAAGGGATTGGGGGGGGAGGAAGAGGAGGAAGAGAGAAGAGGAAAGGGAGAGGGAGACAAAGAGGGAGAAAGAGAGAGAGAGCGCGCACGCAAAATGTCTGAATTATATAGGGAAGAGTCTTGGAGGAAGAGCAGCCCAGCCCCTGGGCTGGAAAGTTCAGGGTTGGGGGCAGGGTATGCTGGGTAGAGACTGAGGGATGCTGGGAGAACCTAGAGGCCAAGTCTGCTTTGGCATGTAAACTATGCACCTAAATCCCCTGTCCTGGGGTCTGAAACCAAACAGTCCAGAACTACTATCTTGCTTCTGTCCCTCATACATGGTATACATTGATAGCCTCCAGAGTGGAAACCAAGGCAAACTTCTCAACAGAGACCACAGGAGAATGAGAATGGGGCCCATGGACCAAAGCGCAGAAGTAAGTAAGCTCTTAAAGGTGTATGGCCCAGTGGCTAGAACTCAAGCTTGTCCAGGACAAGGATGGGGCTAAGCCAGAAGATGGGAGAATGAAGGGCTAAGGTTCTGTAGGATATCTTCAGGTGTGGTTCCCAGAAGACTGTGTGGTGGTGAAGCAGTATCTCTCTCCTTCTAGGGCTCCCCTCTGTGAATGTCTAGAAGACCTAGTCACGGGCTGATCATTGGCTCTCCCAAGTCCTTTTCCTCCTAGACTCCTTTTCAGGAATGTGATGAAAACCTTGTCCCTCTACCTTTCCATCCTTAGCTCCTCCTACTTGTTTTTATTTCTCCATTGGCTCTATAA